CACTAAACAAAGGTATTACAATTAAAGGGTTTTTTCTTTGTGAAATAAATATATATTAACAAATCGCATTTTATTAAATGAAAAATATATATATAACTATCACATAGTAGGAATTAATTATTATTAACTCAACAGTAAATTACTTTTCATCAAATGTAAATAAAATATGTCTGGGAGACACATCTCCATGTCATCAACCGGTGCACGCGTGAGAAACTGGCGTTTAACCATTTACTTAAGGGCAAGTTGGGTGAAGCTGTTTCTCCCTAAACCAAATCCAAACTCACGCCACCATGACGGTGAATTTGGCTATCACCGAATACACTAAATGCCAATTCACCAAAAAATTTAGGACCCACTTTTTGGTTAACAGGTTTGACTAAAGCTACTAAACCCCTACTCCATGATTACGACGGTGTGTTAATGAATTTTGCTTTTCTAGCGAGAACAGATGGCAAAACCTTGCGTTTGATTTGAGAAGATGAAATGTTCATTTGTCATGGGAATTGAATTTTTAGTTAGTAACAACTAATTCAAACTAATTTCTTAATTATTATTTTTGTCAAAAAAACAATGGCAAAACCTCAAATTCACACTTCACATAAAAGCGTGAGAATTGATTTGCTCTTCAAAAAATACTAAGATAAATTATTTATTATTGAACACATAATATCATTAAATCAACTTTTTATTAAAAAATATTTAGATAGCAAATAAGTTTTTGACATATAATAACATCATATATTATAATGTCACACGTTAAATAATAAGTAATATACTTTAATTAACAATTTAAAGGAACAATTTTTCATTTTTTTAAGAGTAAATTTATCCTTACCCTTCTATTTTAAGGGTGAATTTGGAATTCTATCAAAACAAATTACTGCCTTCTTTTTTATATGTGTTTAGAATTTTACTTGTTACAAAAATTATTTCAAGAAGTTTGCCTATATTTGTTGGAATTTTTTAACTTGTATCCATAAAGTATAAGTTAAGAATATAATTATTACATATTTTTATTATTAATTTATATAAAAATATAATAATTGACTTGAATTTTATTAACTGTCTAATTAAATTATTTTATATGACATTAGTATTACAATATTTTGACATATGCACTTATGGCACATATTAGAAATATTCATATTTTTTTAATAATTTTTTATTTAAACTGTCAAAGTGTTTTTTTTTAATTAACTTGAGGCAACTTTAGATTAATTCTTTTTAAGAACAATATTCTTTCTTCTTCTTCTTCTTTTTTAAATAGAAAAATGCATTAAATATAAACAAGTACATATCAGTCCCATGGGTAACAAACCCCAACCA